ACTTGCAAGGTTAAAAGGGCTGAATGTGATGACAAAGAAGTTCATGGAATTTTCTGTCTAAGGTTAAAGAATATTCTCTTGTTCAAAATATTAATGAGTGGGCCGGCCCCGTGGCTTAGCGGTTAAGTGCTCGTGCTCTGCTACTGGCAGCCCGGGTTCGGATCCCAGGTGCGCACCGACGCACCGCTTCTCCGGCCATGCTGAGGCCGCGTCCCACATACAGCAACTAGAAGGATGTGCAACTATGACATACAACTATCTACTGGGGCTTTGGGGAGAAAAAGGAGGAGGATTGGCAATAGCTGTTAGCTCAGAGCCGGTCTTCCTCAGCAAAAAGAGGAGGATCAGCACTGATATTAGCTCAGGGCTCATCTTCCTCACAAAAAAAAAGAAATATATATATATATATATATATAAATGAGTAATATAGTGATGAAGTAATTTTCGACTCTGTCCACACAGAGGATGGAGAGGCACGTGAGAGGGATGAAATCCGGCATGACAGGCGGAAAGAGAGACAGCATGACCGGAACCTTTCCAGGGCAGCTCCTGATAAGAGGTAGGTGCTACTTGAGATAGATACAAATTATGAAGAGTAGCCTTTGTGAACCTTTTAGAGAAGAGGATTAGTTCTCTAAGACCAGTCTTGCTTCTCTCCCTTTCCTCTTTAGTTCGATAACTTAATAAATTCACACTTATTTTCTTGCACCTAATTACTTACTTTGTCTTAGTAGAAGAGTTGACTATCCCTGGAAGTAATCTTTTCTTCCATCACCTAGTAGAGTCAGCTAGAATTGAGAATGATGGGGATATAGAAAAGGGAATTCAGGGCCGGCCCCGTGGCTTAGCGGTTAAGTGCGCGCGCTCCGCTGCTGGCGGCCCGGGTTCGGATCCCGGGCGCACACCAATGCATCACTTCTCCAGCCATGCTGAGGCCGCGTCCCACATACAGCAACTAGAAGGATGTGCAGCTATCTACTGGGGCTTTGGGGGAAAAAATAAATAAATAAAATTATAAAGAAAAAAAAAGGGAATTCAGATTATGTTTGTGAAAAGAAAGCGAAAGCAGTGGATAGGACTGTTCTGGTCTGTTCTTTTTCTATTTCAAATAGTGAGATAAGTTTATTATGTGCCTAGTCCTCTAGACGAGAAATAAGCTGCTACACCTTTATTGGGATCCTTTTACATGCAGAGAGCTATACTCAGTACAGTGGGGGAGAAGAGCAGGTTTTGTAAGAAGTGAAAATTGGTCTCTTCTCATGAGTAGTTTCACTTAAAATTCAGAAAGACAGAGCTGTCATATAAAATGACTTGGGAAACTTGACAAAGCACTCTTAATAAGCACAGACTTGTATAGAACAAACCAGATAGACGTATAGGGACTTGGAGTAAAGTAGGGATTGCTGAACTTCGTGGTTCACCAAAGGCTGAGGACTGAAATTGCTGAACAGTTGAGAAAATGCTGTAATACAGGGGCCGAATTCTGAGTGAGGGTTAAATGCAAATATAAAACATTTTCTTTCAAATGAGCAGTTTTCCATGCCCTCATCATCCGATGAGCTGATACAATCCATTTTTTTCAAATCATATCTGAAATATGAAAAAGAAGATTCCTGCTGGTGGTGGTCTTTGTTGTTTTATGGCATATTTCATCTCCCTGGATAAGTGAAGTCATGGAGAAGCAGAAAATCTGAATTTAGAGTTGTGGGTAAATGTGCTGTGTAGAAGAGAGAGGAATGAAGTGTGAAATGTGCAGTTAATGACACTCTTGGTCTGAAATTCCTAAGCTATAAAAATCAAAATGGCTCTGTAGGTAAACTGGGCCCTTAAAACTAGTAAAGTGGCTATGAGAATTGATAACAGAAAAGCTGTAAACTTGTGGTTGGTTAAAAATCAGATTGTCTTTAGAAATCATTTTCAGACCTGAGCTTCCAGTAAAATAAGTGATGACAGTTACTATGGTTTCATTGTAATGTAGATTGCATACATACAGAAACAGCGGGGGAATTAAGTTAATCTGAATATTGAAAATCATACTGAGTAATCCAGTCATTGACATGTTTTCCTCAAAATTCTGGTAGGATAAAATTACTAACCATGGTTAGGTAAAAGAACTGATTCTAGCTTTTGGAAAATGATTCATGTGATACATCTGTTTTGCATCCAGTCCCCTCCAGTCCTCATATAATAATAGCAAATATAAACCATAGCAATTTGATATCTCAGGATGTGTTGTAAGGTGAATGCTTATATTAAAGACTTCCATGTCAAGAATGAGTCTCTTGGCAGTTCTGAAGGCCTAGTTGTAAAACCCTACCTCTTCTAATAATCATGTATCTGAAATGCTGTAAGGGCTGCCAACCCGATTATGCATTATCAGGGAATATATGTTCACAAGATGTGAGCAGGACTTATTCATTTCCTTTGCTTCTGAGATTGGTTCTGTTTAAATTTAAATTCAGCTTGTCTGTGAAGAGTGTTCAGTTTAGTGACATTGTATTTCAAAACAGGTCAAAATTGCAGAGAAATGAAAATCGGGATATCAGTGAAGTCATTGCTCTTGGTGTGCCCAATCCTCGGACTTCCAATGAAGTTCAGTACGACCAAAGGCTCTTCAACCAATCCAAGGTACAAGGAGTTTAGAAATAGCATATCTAAGTGTTACTGTGAATACCAATCTCAGGGAAAAGAAAATTAACATATCATAGATTTGGATCAGCATAAGGTATGCTGGCACGATGATAGAAAAAAATTGGAAGTTGTGTTGTAACTTTAGAGACAAGATGAAACAGTTCTGATTTTGACCTCTTAAAGTTGGCTAAGATTTGAGACATTAGTAGAAAATGAAAGAAATTAGGTGGTAAAACTTGATTCTGGTACGTCAGTATTTTATTTCTAAAATAGAGCTAGTGTCCTACAAACATAGTTTTTAATGCTGTAGAAACACGTAAACTTGGGATCCTTTAAAAAATGAAGCTGTAAAATTAAAGTACTAGACTAGTTGTCATTAACTAGTTAGAACATGTTAGGCTTAAAGAAGTACCTTTGTGTTTTAATTCACCCAACATTGATTATTTACTGTGCATAAGTCAGTGAGATCAAAGATAGATGTGCCTTTGCCTTCAAGGAACCCTCAGGTGTACTGGAAAAGACAGATTATGTACATCAATAGAGACAAGGCAGACTGTGGTAAGAATATAGAAGTATAAAGTTCTACTGGGATATAGTGGGGAAAAGTTAATTATGACTTGGAGGTTTTAGGAAGATTTGAAGGTAGCATTTGAGTAAGCTTTTCTAGTTAATAAGTTGAGTGCTTTTTATATTCCTGGCATTGTTCTAAATCTTGTACTATCTCACTTACTCCTTACAAAAACCCTATAAAGTCGTACTATTATTACCTCTGTTTACAAATGAGGCAACTGAGACACATAGAGTTTTAGCCAGTAACTGATGGAACTAAGATTTAAACAGGCTGTCTTGCTTCCAAAGCTTGTGTTCTTAAACACTGAGCAGAGGGGGTTAGGGATGAAAGTACCACATCAGTAAATATTTATAAGACAATCACCTCTTTCAAGCTTAAGTTTAAATCATTTAAAAACTGTGGTGAAAATTTTTCTGAAAAGGCATTAACCCTGTGTTAATGAACCATCCAAATAAATGAGACTAGTTTGTTGCTTGTTGACTCAAGATTTTCATTGAGAGCCTTATCTCATGCTGTAATAGTGATGTTCTCAGGCAGTTAAGGAGTATAACAGTATTACTCTAAATGGCATCAGGTAAATGCTTTACAATTCTTTCATCTTTTTGTCACTACACAAATTGAAATTGTCGAGTACCTGCTTATACTAGTATCCAACTTTAATGACTACTTCACTAGTCAAACATTAATGAGTACCTTATTTAATCTAAAAAGGTTTATGGGCCTTGGTTTTAATGATTTTTAATTTGCAGTACAGATTGTTGAAAATGTGAGCTATAAATGAGCAAAGGTTTATTCTTCACATGAATATAATCAAATTCAACTTTTAATAATAATACATATTTATTTAATGTCATCTATTTTTCCACAGGGTATGGACAGTGGTTTTGCAGGTGGAGAAGATGAAATTTACAATGTTTATGATCAAGCCTGGAGAGGTGGTAAAGATATGGCCCAGAATATTTACAGGCCCAGTAAAAATCTGGACAAGGACATGTATGGTGATGACCTAGAAGCCAGAATAAAGACCAACAGGTACCAAGGCAGACAGCTCAGTTGTAATGTTTTCACCAGTGAAAACAAAGTAGTTCATAGTCCCTTCTCTTTTTCCCTAGGTTTGTTCCCGATAAGGAGTTTTCTGGTTCAGACCGTAGGCAAAGAGGCCGAGAAGGACCAGTTCAGTTTGAGGAAGATCCTTTTGGTTTGGACAAGTTTTTGGAAGAAGCCAAACAGCACGGTGGCTCTAAAAGACCCTCAGATAGCAGCCGCCCCAAGGAACATGAGCATGAAGGCAAGAAGAGGAGGAAGGAGTAGATACACCTCTCTTCCAAGTGAATGAACTATTATCCATGACCCTAATGATGCAAGTCATTGGGGGAACACATTTTGTAAATGGCCAGGATAAAAACCAAATCTGGGTGTCAGACCCCAGCACTACTTTTTATTACGGGAGAAAGGGGGGATCGAAAATTCTACTTTAAACTATTTAGTTTTTTTAAAGAGTGGGTTGTGTTTGTGCTTCTCCCACCTTTTGGCATTTATAGACCATACTGCCCCACACATGAAACTAAGACCACTTCCTTTTGTGTGACATTAGTACTTTGGGGTTAATATTTTGTGTAAGAACAACTGCTTCTGAATAAAGTTACCCCAACCACAGTGAGAAGGATTTTCACATATTGGAACAGTCCAGTCAAATGATGTTTGCCCCTGTTGTGCTCTGTTTTAATTTGGAGTGGGGAAAGTAAGCTCTTGCTTGGTGCAACTGTTTGTTGTTTCAAATAAAAACATTTAGACAAAATTTTCAGTTTTGTTTACTTTATTTAAATAGGCAGTAATAGTCTCAAAAATCTTTCTCTTCATCAGATGTTTGATCCCCTTGCAAAACTTTTGGTCTTTGAGCTTGAACATGGAGCTGAAAAAAAATCAAATAAGCACTGTAAGGAAAGGCAGTATCTGCAAAAACATTAAAACTGAAAATTGCCACTTTTATTAGGGATAAGTCAATAAGTCAAGAGGATGTTATTTGTTCCTTGTTCTTAAGACTCCCTGCACTTCAATGAAAAATTGTAAATCAGGGGCTGGCCCAAGTTCACAGGTTCAGATCCTGGGCACAGACCTACACCACTCATCAGCCATGCTGTGGTGGCATCCCACATACAAAGTAGAGGAAGACAGGCACAGATGTTAGCTCAGGGCTAATCTTCCTCAAGCAAAAAAAGAGGAGGATTGGCAACAGATGTTAGTTTACAGCAAATCTTCCTCAGGAAAAAAAAAAAAAAAATTCTACATCAGTTTGACCCAAGGTCACATAGTGAATAGAAAAGCCAGGATTTCAACCCCAGTCTGCCTGACTTGTAACTAGATTGCTGTTTCCACTGTTCCATGTTGCACATACCTTGCTAACCATTAAAGGGTCCTCCTGTACTTCCCTCCCTAGACCTTTTAGAACTGGGCACTCTACCACTACCACCATTCTTTAACAAACATTAAGACAGCTTAAGTTAACAAATCTCACAAAGTCCCCATCATTCCACAGTTCTGACTTATTTAGTTGATATACAGAAAGCTCATTCGGGAGAGAAAATAATTTACCTTTACTCCATCAATAACATGATTTTCCTGTTGTAATGCATTATGAAGTTCTTCTTCTGAAGAAAATTGAATCCAACCCATACCTCTGTGAAAGCCGGTCTCTTTGTCCTAAAAATTCAAAATTTAGGAAAAGATTAATCATGAACTTGAGAAAGTTTCCATGAGCTCCAAATCAAATTACCAACTTTTTCATCTGCCAAAATGGGATAATAGACAATAAGTGTCAAGAACCTTGCGTTAATATGTATTCACCCTCCTAGTTACCGAAGTCTTAATTCCTGTGTTCACATTCTGCTTTTCTGCTGCCATTGGACAAGTAAAGTATGGGTAATGAGCTTTCTGTGTCATTCTCAATACAAACCACACTAACAGCAATAGTGAAGGGAAACTGATCATATAAAGAAGTACTCTTCCTGTTCCTAACTTCCTCACTTCTAGAAACTAGAAATTTAAGCCTCAGAACCTAATTGCATTTCTGGTAATTTCTGAAACCAATCACCTGCAGTACCACCACTACCATCATCAATGCTTCTAATGAAAAATAGGGGGAAAAAATTATTTACCTCATTCCAGGCTTCCAATTTTGCTACTTCCCCTTGTGCAAAAGGCAGAGTGCTTCTCACTCAACCTATACATCAGCACACATGGAAAAGAGATCCTAGTGTGATTGGACACACCCTGCCCCTCCCCCACCAGCCCAACTATGTAAACAACAGATCCCAAGATGTCTGTCCACTCACTGTACATCATCATCAGTCTTGTTACAAAGTTATGTTGTGCTCTGCCCAAAAACCAAATTCTTAGAAATTGCCCCCATACTTCAAAGGTAACTTTGTAAATATTAGTCTAGAAGACAGGAACAGTTTCTGGTAAGGTCCCAGTGATTCACTCCTTACCTCAGATCAGACAATTTCTAGAGCACACTCCTCTACCTCATTTCCATAAGTAAAGGCCTTAAAAATTTTATGTTTGTTAAAACTTAGATACTACGTATCTAAGATAGAAACCTGAATTTCTAACTTGAGTACAATGAATTTGTTAACTAGAAACTAATCTTTTCCTGCTACATTTTATTTAGTTTTACCAAGAATCAAAGCCTTCTTTTGTTTAAATCTAAGATCTGTTAACTCCCGGTCCTAAATTATTTTCTTTACATTTTTAAGATGCAAATGGCAACCAAGAAATATCTGTTACTTTTTTTTTGGAGAAACTTTATTTTTAAATGCTCTTCAGGGGGCAGCCTGGTGGTGTAGTGCTTAAGTTCACATGCTCTGCTTCGGCAGCCCAGGGTTCGCAGATTTGGATCCCGGGCACAGACCTACACACTGCTCCTCAAGCCATGCTGTGGCAGCGTCTCACATACAAAATAGAGGAAGACTGGCAACAGATGTTACCTCAGGGCCAATCTTCCTCACCCAAAAAGGAAAAAAAAAAAAAGGGAAAAAAAAGCTCTTCAATAAATACAAATTTCATACTCATAAAATTGCAGTTTTTAAGCTTATAGAAAGATTTTCATGTCTGTAATACACGTGCCTCATTCTTTTAATCAACTGTATAAAATTCCATTGTAACCATGAATTAATATCTATCTAATCAATCCCACTGATGAACACTTAGGTTCTTTCCAGTTATATTATTAAACAATGCTGCTTTGAACATTCTTGACCACACATTTCTGTAGAATAAATTCCCAGAAATGGAATTGCTGGATCAAAGCAAATACAAATTCTTAATTTTGATAGACTTTGCCAAACTACCCTTCAGAAATGAAGGTACCAGTTAAACTTCTCAATGATTTCAGTGCCCATTTTCCTATACCTTCACTAGCACTAGATATAAGTAATCTGTTAGATCTTTGGAAGGCAAGTAACATTAAATCAAGAGTTAAGAGTTTGAATTACTTTAAGTTTATATTTTACCACAGCCTTTTCAGTGCCATGAGGAAAAAAGGGGTGGTTTTAGTGAAGCCTGTGTAAACTCTATGCGTATTCACATCACATCCCCAAAAAACCCAGTAATTCTAGAAAGCCCACAGAAAAATATAGCTCAGGATAAAGTAGAACAAATTTATAGACTGATTTCTAAACCTTCATGAGAAAGAAAAGAAAATATAACAAATATAAAAACACACACAAAAAAAATGGCACTCAATGAGGATAAAGAGTAACATATTCTCTGCCGCTTAGTTTGAGAAAGTTATCCTCTACTATCTCAAGTCCTAATGATACTGTAGTAGGCAGAAGAATTGCAAAATGGCCCCATGATCTCGTGTCCCACCATGTTACCCCCTGTATAATCCCCTCCCCTCGAGTGTGGACAGGAACTGTGAAACGCTTCTAACCAAAAGAACAGGACAAAAGTGATGGGATGTTGCTCCCTTGATCAGGTTATATGGCAAGGGTGATGGAGTGTCACTGCCATGACTAAGTTATAAGACTGTCTCAGCAGCCTAGAGAAAGAAACTCCCTTGCTCATTTTGAAGAACTAAGCCACCACATCGAGAAGGAGCCTACAGAGAAGCCAGGTAACAAGGAACTGCAGGCAGTCCCTAGGAGCTGAGAGCAGCCTCCAGCTGAAAGCCAGCAAGAAAACAGATAGATACCTCAGTTCTACAATTGAAAGATGAATTCTCCAACAACCTGACGGAGCTTGGAAATCAGTCTTTCCCAGTTGAGCCTCTGATAAGACCACAGGCCCAGCTGACACCTGGATTGCTGCAATCGTGAGACCCTGAGCAGAAGACCCAGCACGGCTCTGCCCAGACTCCTGATTTGCAGAAACTGTGAGATAATATAAGTGTGTTGTTTGAGCCATTAAGATTGCAGTAATTTGTTATGCAACAATAAAAAACTAACACAAATACCTAGGGATAAAGTTTTTTTACTTTTTAATCAGTATCACCCATAAATTTTTTTTTTTTTTTTTTTTTTGGTGAGGAAGATTAGCTCTGAGCTAACATCTGCTGCCAATCCTCCTCCAATATCACCCATAATTTTATCAATAAAGACTCTGGGGGGCTGGCCCAGTGGTGCAGCAGTTAAGTGCACGCTCTGCTGCGGTGGCCTGGGGTTCGCAGGGTCAGATCCCAGGCATGCACCGACGCACCGCTGGTTAAGCCATGCTGTGGCAGCATCCCATGTAAAGCAGAGGATAGGCACGGATGTTAGCCCAGGGCCAATCTTCCTCAAGAAAAAAGGGGAGGATTGGCATTGGATGTTAGCTTAGGGCTAGTCCTCCTCACAAAACAATAAATAAATAAAATAAAAATTAAAAAAAAAAATAAAGACTCTGAACAGCTTCACTCCATTAGAAATTCATGAGCTGATATGCTTTGACAAAAAATCAAGAATTAGAGGATAGGGGTCGGCCCCGTGGCTTAGCAGTTAGGTGTGCGTGCTCCGCTGCTGGCGGCCCGGGTTCGGATCCAGGGCGCACACCGACGCACCGCTTCTCCGGCCATGCTGAGGCCAAGTCCGACATACAGCAACTAGAAGGATGTGCAGCTATGACATACAACTATCTACTGGGGCTTTGGGGGAAAAAAATTAATTAATTAATTAAATTATTAAAAAAAAAAAGAATTAGAGGATAACATTAATATGTTTTTTTTAAAAGATAATACTCACAAAAGGTACAGTGCACTTTCGTACATGGCCAAATTGTGCAAAGTGTTCTCTCAGCTCACCTGTATAGAAGAAAACATATTAAAAGTAGTTAATGTATTTTATATCCTCCATCCTAGACTGTAGATAGAAACAAACAAAAACAGGTCCTAGGGTCCCCAAACTTTATGTGAACAGGAGCTACTTTGCATTTCCTCAAAGCCTTAAGATTTAGGAATCAGCTATGATATTGACTATAAAGCTGTAACGTACTAGATTTGAGGATGTGATGGGGTGAAGAACAGGCAGATAAATTGCTGAATTGACTGTAGTCTTAATCCCCAGCAAATACTGAGTGTCTTCATCATACCAGATACTGTGCTAGGTGCATGGATTATAGTCCCTGTGAGAAGGTCACAGTAGACAAACAATTACAGTACAGTGTGTTGCTAGCAATATTGATTTCCACATAAAATCTCAATTTGCCTTTTATAATTTAAAGTTTACTAGATTAAATAGTTAGTACTCTTAAAATTTGTTGAGTTGACCCTACCTACCCTTCCTGCCTTATTTCCCATTGCTGGCCCACAGTTTCTCTCTAGTATAGCAAATAAAATTCTATGTATCTGTCCTATGGATTCCCATCTTTGCATGTCATTCTTTCCCTTTGATATGTCAGTAATCCTATCTCCTCCTAAGTTGTAACTATCCTTCAAGACCCAGGCCAAATACCACCACTGAATATTATTTTATTGGGCTCCTACTGCAATACAAGACAACGTATTAGCCCTGTGAGGCCTCAAAGATGAACAGTGGATAATCTTAAAGATAAAAACTACAATATCTCTTTCTCTCCTGAACTACAGTGCTTGTACTTTTGCTGATTTACATTTCCAATTACCTGCTCATTTCCCCTAGTTCATCTAAACCACACTGGTTCAACAATTGCCTATATTTGTGGTTAAGTCTCCTCACCCCCACCAATACCCTGTAAGCTCCCTGAATGTTGAGTCCACAATGTCCACAGTGATTGACACACAGGACAATATTTGCTGACTGAATACATAAATGTCTAGTAATCCTTCAACAATACACAGGGACGAAATTTCTGAAGAGCTCTAATAGTTGGTCAAACCAGTCAGCAAGATCAGGATCTCACAGAACACATTACTGGAGGATAAACAAAATAGTGTTAAATATACATGTTTTAAACCAGGTATTAAAAGTTCTGGGGTTCTCATGCTGTGCTTCAGTGGCCCAGGGTTCACAGGTCCGGATCCCAGGCGCGGACAGACGCACCATTTATCAAGCCATGCTGTGGCGGAGTCCCATATAAAGTAGAGGAAGATGGCCACAGATGTTAGCCCAGGGCCAATCTTCCTCAGCAAAAAGAGGAAGATTGGCAACAGATGCTAGCTCAGGGCTAATCCTCCTCACAAAAAAGAAAAAAGTTCTGGGGCCAGCCTGGTGGCACAGTGGTTAAGTTTGCACGCTCTAGTTTGGCAGACCGGGGTTTGCAGCTTTGGATCCCGGGCACAGACCTACCAACACCACTGATCAAGCCATGCTGTGGCAGCGACCCACATGGATAATAGAGGAAGACTGGCACAGATGTTAGCTCAGGGACAATCTTCCTGAAGCAAATGGGGGAAGTTGGGCAACAGATGTTAGCTCAGGGCCAATCTTCCTCACCAAAAAAAAAAGAGAGAGAGCAGAAATTAATAAAATATAAAAATAAAACCATAATTAAAAAGTTCTAGAAAACATTCACTTCCAAAACAAATGAGCTCTGGAAGGTAACCCTTTTCCCAAATTACCTAAAACTGTTGCGGAAAAACAGCTGCCAGCACCAAGAACAATGCCTACCACATAACAGATACTCCTTAAATATTTGCAGAATGAACGAATGAACTGAGAGGGATTGTTTCAAAGTTGTATGTTATACAGACTCTTCAATGGTTTTAAACTAGCCCATTATAGTCTGGAAACTGGCATCTGCAACATGCTGATGAAACCCCTCAGCCTTTCCACCAAGTTTCACAGAGCCTAAGCAAGACATTTTACTGGGCTTGGTCTTCACCCAGCACATACTGAGGTGGGGCACAAACCGACTATTTCCCATTCTACTACTCACACCTAGGCCACAAAAAGAGGAGCGTAATCCCCGTTCCATTCTTTGGTTTAAGCGAGCTGACTTGATACGTGAATATCTACAAAGGTGACTGGAGATTTTTAAATTTTGGTAAGCAAATGTAAACACCTTATCTCAAAACTGCAGCTGAGAAAAATCAATGTTGGAGATTTCAGTGCTGATTACTCCCAACCCTCTCTCTCCAGCCTAGGCCTCTCCCATGATCTTCAGTTTGGTAATCATGAAAACCACTCTCATTTATTGAGCACTTATTCTTGTATCTAGCACAAGTCTAAGCAGTTTACATATAAACTCATTTAATCCAATCAACAATCCTGTGACGAAGGCACTATTAACTCCATTTTATTTCTTTCCATAAGAAACTGACGCACAGCAGTGAGCCTTTTCCCCAAATTATCTTCCTTTAGTCAGGTTACACAACTATGAAGTGGCGAGCGGGAATTCTAAACCAAGTAGTATGGCTTCAGAGAGCACTTCTCGATCAATGATACACAACCTCCTCTGCCCAACTGCCTGACAGAGAACTCACAGGTTTCTCCAACTCAATACATTTAAACTTGACTCCTCATCTTCTTTCGACCTGCTTCTCCTACATTCTAACCGCAAAACCCACCAATACTAAAAACCTGGAAGTCATTCCTCCCTTTCCCTCATTCCCTACTCTTCCCCCATTCAAGTCATCACGAAAAGCTGTCGACTTTGTTCTGCTAACATTAAGTGGACCTGATCGCTCTTCTATCATTAACCTAGTTCAGGTCCTCATCTTTCAACTAAATTGCTTAAATTGCTTTTCGTTCGTCTCCTCGTCTCCAATCCTGCCACTTTGAGTCCATTCTCCACCCTGCAATCAAAATAATCTCATCTATATCGTAAATCTTAAAGTTTCCAAGTAATAGACCTTTCCACCAAATCATTCCAAAAGGCAGGAACCCGTGAATACGTACCCCAAAAGCTCAAGGGGTATGCCTAAATGATTAACACAAACAAAATTTCTGCTCACTGGCTTGCTCAGGAAAACTCAATCTCCTAATCAGCCACCACGTTGATTTAACTGCTCCGCAGAGAGGAGAGCTTTTGAGGATCGCTTGGACCTAAAAATTCCGCCCCTACTACATCTCCATCACTCACTCGAGGCCGCGGTCCAGGGAATTTTTCTGACAAAAGCAACGGGCCGACCAATACTCGTACGAAGCGCCACAGTGCCCCTCACTGCCGAAGCCGCCATCTTTAGATTGAGGGACCTCTGTGACCTGTGTCGCGACCCCGGAAGAACCTGCTGATCCGGAGCACGGGAATCTGCTTCCGGGTCAGAGGAGGCCGGGCAGCGAGATGGGGAAGATGGCGGCGGCTGTGTGTTCCGTGGGGATGCTGGCGGCGGAGCCGGGGGAGGACGCCTTTCGGAAGCTTTTCCGCTTTTACCGGCAGAGCCGCCCCGGGACCGCAGACCTGGGAGAGGTCATCGACTTCTCGGCGGCCCATGCAGCCCGCGACACGGGGCCCGGGGCCCACAAGGTACGGAGAGAGGAGCGGCGCGCGCCTGCCCGTAGCCTCGCCTCGCCTCGCTTGTTGGAGGGGCCTCAGTGTCCTCTTCACCTCTTTTCGCTTCCAGACTGACAGTTAGTGAACGATCCCTGCCCTCCGTGGGAGTTGAACTGCCCACGATGGCAATGAAGAGTTCTGCTGCCCGTCTCCATGCGGCCATTTCTGGTTGCAGCCTCGATCAAAAAATGCCTGGGAGTTGGTGTTTATTCCTTCAATTAACTGTCTCTTTGCCTTTCTACTTCGATTTGTGTAAAACCTCGTAAACCGTATTCGTAGACATCAGCGTACGCTCTGCAGCTTGAGAAAACCAACCACCCGAGTAATGCCAGAATTGAGAGTGGGGTCGATGTTCTTAGCTAAGCCGTTGTCCCTAAAACTGGTCCCTGTCTTCTCTGGGCCTTTTAGAAAAGGCATTGAAAGATCTGAGATAATCTCGCCAAGCTGAAAATAACCGGCAAACGAATCCAGGCACCAGCCATTGTTTCTACCTTTCCCCATGGAAATTAAGAAAAGTAACATAAGGGGGGACAGAGGACACAGAAAATCACGACTGTAGTGTAATTTTTTTTACAATCGCTTTAACACTGAGGGTACCTGATCCCTTAATTTGCCCTTGGTGCTGTTGACAGATGGCTGGATGAGGCATTCTTCTCAAGCTTAGTAATAGCTCTTAATAAAATTGGAATGCTATAGTAACACCGTATTTGTGTAGAACTCAGCTTCGTAGAAACTTCATTTGTTAGGAAAAATGGTCTTAGAATTGTCGAAATAACATACAGAAAGTGTGCACCCCAAGAATAATATACTTGACTCATGGGAAAGCCTGTCAGACCCTCGTTCAGCTCCTTTTGCCTGTAATTTGCCTATTACTTACATACTTTTAGAATGTAAGGCACCTGAGAAGGGGGTATTGTGTCTAGCACAGTACCTAAAACAGTAGGCACTCAATAAATACACTATGTATTGAGTTCATAAAAACTTGGGTATTTAGGTCCTCAGCTCAAAACAGATTGAAAATAGCAAATTAGAGAGGAAGAAAGTTGCTATTACAAGACACCTGATGAGAGCAGTGGAGAAAGTGATGGCTAATGGTCTGGCAAAGGATGAAGCAGAAAAACTTTTTTAAGGAACTGAGAGGTTTGGTTCAGCTTAGCATATGGTGGAATAGGTCCACAAACTTACTTCATAGCTGAGGATGTTCCTGAATTACAGTGCAGTATTAAGTATGGTCTGTTTAAGAAATCATTACAAAATGTTTAAAATAAAAGCATTTTCTCAGCTTCTAGGGACCTAGAATTAGCTGGTCAGGACTCCCAGAGGGTTCCAAATAGCCATTTTCTGATAGAGACTGGTTATACACCAGCCACTTGGTATTTTGTCTGGAAGTCTCCACATTGGGGAAGTTAATAGGATAAGGGATCATATCTCTTTGGAAGAGAAGGTTTGATTTATTCTAAGGCAAACCAGACCGTAAGTTTATTATTCATGGAAGAATAAAGTTTTTTTCCCTAAAAAATTTACTGTCCTTACTGTAGTGACTGCATATTGGATCTCTTAACCAATTTAGTGATCCATCCATAAGATGCTGTTACGTGCAAAGAAAAATTCATGAGCCCCTGAAAAACTTAATTTCAAATTAAGTAATTAACAAAGGCAAAAAGTTCTGAGTTTCAGTTTGAAGTTTCATCTAAAAGAGAGCAAATATTGTACTTTTGCAAACAGGGTTCCCAGTGTTTTATTGAAACGTTTTTTTCAGTCTGGTTGGAGCACTCTCTTACCGTACTCTCACCCTTCACCACATGGTATCCTCAGACCTCTGTTTAAACACCATCTGTATAGAAGTGCCTCAGAAGCATTATTGGTAGCCCTAACCAAAGTAGACAGCATCGTGACTCAAAGTATTTCAGTACACCAAACACCTTTCATGATTCAGAGTCCTATTATAAGTCACAAAGGTGTGGTATCTTTGGAAAAGGTAGTCTGGAAGGCCAAAATCAGCCTGCTTCTCATTACTACTTATCCTAATTTTATATAGCTTTCTAGTGTTTATTAGTATATAGATGAGGAAACTGAGGCTCTAAAAATAGAATGACTTATCTAAGTCTTACATCAAGTAAGTAGTAGAACTAAGTTTAGGACCCCAGACTTATGACTCCTAACTTTGCCCCATACCAGAAATGTCTTGAGAGGTTTGAGATTCTCTGAGTTGACCTGTAAACTAGCTTTAGCCCTCTGACTTCTGTTTCCTTCCTACCAGGTGGTCAGATCTCAGCTAAGTGTGTCCTCAGTCAGTGACCACGATGCACACAGAGCAGGACTTCAGCCGGTCAGCAAGTGGCGAGCCTATGGACTTGAAGGCTATCCCGGTGAGTATACCTAACCTCACAAGGCGAAGTCACCCAGTCATTTGTCTAATTTCAGAGGAGGAGCTGTCAACAAGTAAATAGACAAAGGAGAAAACTAAACAGACAGAAATGTTCCACTCCCAAACCCCTCCTAAATTCTGCCTCGTCTAAGATTTCCATTTATTTAGCATTCCCAAAGGATAGAACAGGAGTTAGTAGTGCCTGCCTTACGTCACAGAAAGTGACACACCAAGTACAAATCAAAAATTAGGACATTGGCTCTGGGCTCCCTGCCACAACTCTGAACCCTTACACGGGCAGAGGAACCACTTTTAATGATAGAATAATTCATAATGGTTACGCCATTCACAAAATTGCTGCATTCTCAAATGGCGTAACAACAGCTTAAAGATTGTTGCTATCATCAAGGCTGAACATTTGAAAAGAGAATTAACAGTTAATAAGATCAAAAGTCCTAATAAATAATGAAGAATTTTGGGGCCGGCTCCGTGGCTTAGCGGTTAAGGGCGTGCGCTCTGATGCTGGCGGCCCAGGTTCGGATCCCGGGCGCGCCCCAAGGCACCACTTCTCCGTCCAACGCGAGGCCGAGTCCCACGTACAACAACTAGAAGGATGTGAACCTACGACATACAACTGTCTACTGGGGCTTTGGGGGGAAAAAAATGAATAAATAAAATCTTTAAAAAAAAAAAAAATAATGAAGAATTTTGAATTTTGGTGATGTTGGATAACTCACTTTACAGATAGAGAAATTAAGATAATAATGAAGAGTGGGTGATGTTATAAACCTTTTTTCTAGGATCATGGGGTCATTGTAGATTAATTATTATGAACTATTAATTGTGTATTAGAAAATACGGAAATGCTTTATTTGGCCAAATAATCTTATATCTGTCATCCTGTTTCTTTCTAGAGGATGTAAAGTTAGCACTCAATTGTGATTTCAAATATGGATTAAAAACATAGGATTCCCTAAAAAGAAATATTAATTTTCATTGTGCCAAGGACCAGATCTGTTATAGCTCTTAGTACATCTTGACCACTGAAGTATTTGTTAATAACATGAGAAGGTATAACAGCTTTAATACGTCCTCTAAAAGGCCTCATGCACTTTAGTTCTGTATTAAAGAACTAAGACTGAAGTCACAAAGGAAAGAATTGAATGATGGAATGGCTTTTATATACGAAAGCATTGCTCTCCATTAGTTTGGGTAAATGAGGAGCATGCATCACCAGCAGTCTTTTATGCACTTTTTGTTCTCAAAGGCTGCCCTTTACCTTTCAGGCCTAGCTCCTGTTTTCAAGGCGATGTTTCTCTGTTGCTGCGCCTTAACACATTGTTTGGACTACAAAGTTATCAACTCCACTTTGGTTTCCTATTGTCCAAGTTGGCGTACTTGCGTTTTGAGGTTTTCTAGGATTTTACACTTAAGCCACATCATTGAAGTGGTACCTCATTATGTCCTTAGAGACTTTATTCTGTCTTCTCTGCCATTGTAACCTGCAATTTAATAGAAGTATAATGTCCTAAACATGGGAGATAACAGTCTCCTCTTTCTCTGACTTGATCAGAAGAATTGTGTTTACCTCTGGATCCTGTTTATTCTAAAGGAACCTGAGTATACCACAACCTGTCCTTATAAGAGTGAGTGGGCAGGGCTGGCCCCGTGGCTTAGCGGTTAAGTGAGGGCGCTCCGCTGCTGGCGGCCCGGGTTCGGATCCCGGGCGCGCACCGACACACTGCTTCTCCGGCCATGCTGAGGCCATGTCCCACATACAGCAACTACAAGGATGTGCAGCTATGACATACAACTGTCTACTGGGGCTTTGGGGGGAAAATAAATAAATAAATAAAATCTAAAAAAAAAGATTTAAAAAAAAAAAAAAGAGTGAGTGGGCAGGTGAGGGGTCTGAAGACCAGAAACTGAGTGTAGAGAAGAGTAGACTTGAGGGGGAACATGACAGCGTCAAATATTTGAAAAGTTATCATACGCTGGAAGGGATGGGAAACAGTGCATACTAGTGGTTAAGACGTAGGTTCTGATGCCAGGCTACCTGGGTTCATGTGCTGGCTCTACCATCTACTACTGTATAATCTCGGGCAAGTTTCTTAATCTCCATTGGCCTCAGTTTCCTCATGTAAACTGTATAAAAATGGTATCCACTTTATAAAGTTATTACGAAGATTAAATGTGAGCATACGTGTAAAGTGCTTAGGTCAGAGCCTGGCACATAGTAGATGCTCAGTAAATGTTAGCTATAAAGCTAGAGGTATTTATTTATTTTTTATGTGTGTGAGGAAGATTAGCCCTTAGCTAGCATCTGTTGCCAATCCTCCTCTT